CTACAGTGCCAAATGAAGACTCCCATCCCAATTTAGAGACAGGAAAATGAGGCACAGAAAGGCTAGGTTTCTTACCAAAGATCACATACCTAATAAGTCACAGACTTAGGATTTAAACCAAAACAATTTGCTCCTGAGTCAGTGTTCTTAACCACAATGTTATGCTGCCCCTTTTTCTGTTAACAAAAAAGGAAATACTGTACAACTTATATATTACTATGATTAATCAAAAGGTCATCATGACTTACCAAATGAACTTCATAGCTTGCTAGTCCAGAAGAATTTGGGCCTAATCTATATTTTTCAACCTTATCATCCATTGTCTATCTCAACTCAACTCCCATCCAATCCTTCAATGAAGCCAAGTCCAACTTTCAAACTTGTATTCATGTTACCTCATCTGGACCCTCTCCCCAAATCCCATGACTGCTTAGCCAACAACACCCCTGATACTCCCGCAGCACTCGGCACAGCTGCCGCTTTAACCCCATCTAGTTCCATGCAGCTGTTTCTTCCTTCTGCTCTGCCCTGTCTACCTGTCTAATTCCTTAGGAGGAGGCATCACATTTTATTCATCTAGCTTGACTACAAGTCTAGTGCAGTGACTACAAGAGGTCTCTGAATTGAATGGGTATTCTTTAGCACCTATATAAATCCCCAACTCTGTGTCCACACTCCAATCTTCCACTTTACCTATTACATGCTTCAGACACTCAGCCATTTAGTTTTTTGTTTTTTGTTTTTTCAGTTTGTCTGTGCACATTCAGGAATATTTTTAATTTGTCCTCTCTACTCATGCATTTATTTTATAAATATTTCTTGGTACCCACCTACTCTGTGCTGTTGTGCTAAATGCCACTGAGTCAGATCCGACTCATAGTGACCCTGTATAGGATTTCCAAGGATCATCTGGTGGATTTTAACCACCAACCTTGACAGCACCACACTCTGTGGTAGACCCTGGGAATACAGAATGAAGAAGAAGACTGTACATTCTAATTAAGATGCTAAATAACTACAAAACAGCATCTTTGATTCAGCTACAAAGGTTTCAGGGGCCTTACAGTACACATCAGGGTTGCCATCACTATAGTTATGACTCTCTTGGTATTGCTGGGGACTTGTTAGGACAAGGAGCACCTTCACTGTACAACATTTTAAATCCACACCCTGCTATTTGTCAAGCACTGTGATAAGAGCTTTAGTTCACATAATCCTGTCATCTTTGTAACTGTAAGGTAGATAAGATCACTATTTCATTTTTCTGTGCAGGTAAGTATCTTGTCCAAGTGTACCTGTATTTATTTGTATACTGAGAAGCTTTTTCTGTCTGTTAATAAACAGAAACACTGTACAACTTACATGTTACTATGATTTATCCAAAGGTCTTCATGGCTTACCAAATGAACTCTGTAGCTTGATGGTCCAAAAGAATCTGAGCCTGACTTATATTTGCAGCCTGATCTTCCACTATCTACCCCCAAGCCAACTGAGAAGCTTATCAACAGTACTTAACAATTTTTCAACATAGAAGAATTTTTAACTCTTTCTGAATCAAACTAGGGTATTGGTCCAAAACTCAGCCAGCCATCACCAACCCAAAACCTACTGCCATCAAGTCTATTCCAACTCATAGAGACCCAATGGGAAGGAGTACAACTGCTCCACTGGGTTTCCAGGGATGCAAATCTTCATGGAAGCAAACTGTCTCATCTTCCACAGAGCGACTGGGGGTTTCAATTGCCTTTAAATTCATAAATGACTATCTATAACCTTCACATCTGTGCTGCAAATGGGAGACCAACTGATGACTTTGCCACCTCACAGCTACTCTTTAGTTATGTAGCAGCTAAAAGAACCTTTATTCATTAATAAAACTGTCCAATTTTAACTTTTTCAAGCAAGTGAATACCGACTCTTGATGTGCATATACAGTGCTAAATATCAAAGGGAATGTGGGATTTCAGGATTAACTCAAGTCCCTCGGGGGTCTTCTGAAGCCACAGATAAGGGATTCAGTAGAGTCAAGGCATACACAAGGTATGGATGGAGAGGATGATGGATTTCACCTGATGATGAAAATATTAAAAAACTGGCAGGATTATATTTCTGAAATGGACACATTCCATGTTTATTTCAACTGACTTATAGAGACTGAAGTGGCAAAGTAGGACTGTGCTCCACAGGGTTTTCAATGACTGATTAGGCAGATTTAGATCTCCAAGGGCTTTCTCCCAAGGTGGCTCTGAAGAGATCAAATAGCCACCTTTTTGCACTACTAAGGTACTGTTAAAGAGTCAAAATTTAAACACCTGAAATGCACAGGCTATAGAATAGGAAATCCATCAACAAACAAATGGAAAAATAATTCTTGACCAATTGCTCTAAAAATTGTTTGTGTTTATATATATATA